CTCTTTTTTTTTATTGAATTTTTTTTTTTTTTTTTTTTTTGTGAATAATTATGGATTGATTTGTGTTTTGAACTTTTAATACCTTTTATCTAAGATTGTATCCGAATAATTATAAATGGTAGATAAATAAAATTAAAAAAAAATTGCAACCAAGAGCCTATTCACGTCTAAAAAAACTTATGCTGAAATTTATGAAATTTTAATTATTAATGTAAAATTAAAATAGAGAATTGGGTTGAATTGGGAACGAAAAGATTTTTGAGAGTTAGCTTTACCAATCATATTCTTATTATAGCTTTACAAAAAGTATTACCAAATTGGTGAAGGACACATTATTGGTTTTGAATTCAAAGTACGTTGAATTTTAGAACTTGTACCTTTGTGTCATAAATTTTTCTATTCGTCAAATAACTTTACTAGTAAGTTATCAATTCAACGTTCATTCCTTTTGGTGTTTTGGAAATGTTATTTTTCAAAGTTAGTATCCATATTGAATTGAGTTGATAGACATCTTTTGGACAGATCTAAAATTTTAAGTTAGTTGGATATGTGACTCAAGTAACAGAGCTCACAACCCAATCCAACTCAGTTCTCTATTTTCGGGATGAGTTTCGTTAAAAAAATTATACTTATCCACAATAGATATTACATTAATAACCAGTATACTAAGTTATGCCATGTTATGCGATTCTATGTTATGGAATTATAATATCCTTTCAATGATACATGATAAAAGATGTCACGACTCAATTTTTCTCACTCGAGTCGATACTATTTTAATAAGAACTGGAAAGATTAAGTAAAATATTGCATTTAAAACAGAACATATGTATATTTATTTACAAATCCAAGTTAAAGTTTGAATACATTGAGTCTCATAAACAAACACTAAAGTAGTTGAAAACGGTGTGGCTCTGTATGGCTCCTGCTCGAGATCTGCATTCATCCTTAACCAAGTCCTTAAGGTAGTCTCGTAACCACTTGAAAATCAAAGGCTATCCATAAAGATTGTTTCCTTTCTTGATTCATGGCTGTGGGGCAGCAGATTGATTACTAGAAAATCAATAGCTAAGTAGAACAAAATTCTTTATCCTTAGCTTTAGGGTAGCATATTGATTACTTAAAAATCTAATACTACCTAAGACTTACCACTTGCACCATCTTGATCAATGATTGCATGCCTAGATCATTTTAACTTAGAGTATCATGTATTACTTAAAAATCAAGAACTATCTCAATCTTATCATGAGGTAGCATCTTGAGTACTTAAAAATTCAGAGTTAACATCGAGCTCATCTTGAGTTAGGGTAGTTAACCTCGAGTTCATCTTGAGTTAGGGTAGCTTCCTACTTGCTTAAAAACTAACGGCTAACCTAAAACTTATCATGAGGTAACATCTTGGTTGCTTAAAAATCAAAGATGAACCTAGAGCTCATTTTAATATTAGGGTAGCAGTCTGATTACTTAAAAATTAAGGTAATCCTAGAGCTCATCTTGAATTAGGGTAACTTTCTGGCTGCTTAAAAACTACGGGCTAACCTAAAGCTTATTATGAAGCAACATCATGATGAGTCTAGAACTCATCTTAATCTGAGGATAACCTCCTGGTTGTTTAAAAACCAAGGGCTAATCTATAGCTTATCACGAGATAACATACTAATTACTTAAAATTGAGGATGAACCTAAAGCTCCTTTTAATCATAAGGTAACTTCTTAGTTGCTTAAAAATGAAGGGCTAACCCTACACCTTATAACTACCCTAATTATGATTTAACAATATTTAAGTTCCTAAAGTGAGCACAAGCCATTAACTTCTTCATGTCATGTTCGTTGGAGTTTTCCCCAAATCCAACAAAAACAGACTCGATAAGCTTTTTTTTTTTTCTTCTCTTCGATTTCCGTTGATTCTGAGGTATTTACTCTAAGTGGTTTTCATGAAACTTCATCCTTTAAGTGCCCACCAACCTATTGAATTTGGTTTGGAGAGACGACTTATCTTCTGGGCTCGAATTCGATTTTTACATCTTCTACTTTCGTTGGTCATGTTAGGATCAATACCAATTGTTAGCTCTGATACCAATTGTTAGGATCGCTCAACAACGCACATACTCGCTCAATATGAACACATAAGTGAAAAAATATAAGGAGGAATATTGAGTAAAGGTTTTATTGATGAATTCAAGCATGTAAAATAAGATAGAATACAGAGGACGAAGAAAAGTATATTTTGATAGCATTGACTGATGAGATATATATATGGTTTCAATTTACTAAATATAGTTTTCAAAAGATTTAACCGAAATAATCTACCAAATATATCTCTATCCATCTTTACCAAATATCTTCCAAATATATCTCTACCAGATCTAAGCATCAGGGTCTATATGAACAGGTCATGGATGCTTGAATTGAGGGAATGAGTTCTAGACACTCTCATCTCTCAAATCCTTCATCAAACTTGTTGGGGAGCTCGTTTAGAATGTGTAAAAACTAGTCAGAAAGAAAATGGCTACTTGTAGTCCTCAAATTTAGAAGAAATTCAAGAAAGATAAACTCATAAACTAAACTTCGATTCTTGTGATTGAAGGCTCAAATTTGCTCTATTCTTGTTCCAAATGAACCCCTACTTCATAATTTACAGAGAGAGCTTAAGCTGACATTGAAACCTCCATAATCATCGTGAGTTTAAGGTTGAATTTTTTGGATTTTTTATCGAAAATAACTTCTTTGAGTAGTGGAAAACTGTGATGTCCCACATTGGATGGGGAGAAGAACAAGACATCGTTTATAAAGGTATGGAAACCTTCCCCTAGCAGACGAGTTTTAATGGAAGGGTCTTTTTCAAAAACCTCATTATCATTCAAAAACTAGTAAAGAGGCTCTCCGATCAAGGAGGCATCCTGGTAGGAAGGCAGCGACTTTTTGAGCTATGAAAACGGATCCCTACGTTGAAGAGTGAAAGCAACTAACTAATTCATTTACTCGAATGTAAAGGATTGAATAAAATTTAAGCGATTTAACCGACTATATATTTATGAAATTTAAGATTTTTTCTGAAATTTAAGATTCTTACGAAAATTAAAAATATTTGACCTTTGTAATTCGTGCTGATATTTATGAAATTTTAGTTATTGATGTAAACAACGTTAATTTTTTAAAATAATTTAAATAGAGGATTGGGTTGAATTGAGTCGTAAACTCTATTCGGGTCCGTTGAAAAAACTTTCTTGAGTTTACTTTACCAATCATATTCTTATTATAGCTTTACAAAAGTATTACCAAATTGGTCAAAGACACATTATTGGTTTTGAATTCAAAGTACATTAAATTTTAGAACTTGTACCTTTATGTCAGAAATTTTCTATCCGTCAAATAACTTAAGTAGTAAGTAATCAGTTCAACATTCATTCCTTTTGGTGTTTTGGAAATATTATTTTTCAAAGTTGTACGGATTGAATTGAAATGAATTATGACATCTTTTGGACGGATCTAAAATTTTGAGCTAGTTTAGTCGGTGATTCGAGCAACATGAATAGAGTTCACAATCCAACCCAACTCAATCCTCTATTTTCGGGATGGGTTTCGTTGGGTTGTCGGGTTTTGTTTTTAATTACTTAAAAAAAAATTCTACTTATCCACCGTATATATTACATTAATAACCAATATACTATGTTATGGAATTATAATATACTATCAATGATATATGATGAAAGATGTCACGACTCGATTTTTCTCACTCGAGTCGACTCTATTTTAATAAGAACTTGAAAGACTAAGTAAAATATCGCATTTAAAACCAAACATAAGTATATTTATTTACAAATCCAAGTTAAAGTTGGAATAAGTTGAGCCGGGTAAACAAACACTAAAGTAGTTGAAAACAGTGTAGCTCTGTATAGCTCCTGCTCCCGACCTACGTTCATCCTCGAGTTATGGCTCTTGGATTGAGGAGGTTTCTGTCCTTGCTTGGGTTAGTTTATTCCTTTCCTTAGATCCTTTAAACTTTACATGGACATTTTAAACTTAATTACCTTAACCTTACTTGGAGTATTATAAAAGACATGATGATCATTATGTACACATAATTCATATGTATGCTAGGCACGATTTGTATCTTAAGTATATACTATGATTTTAAGTTAAGGGAACCTTTTGCATTTATGTATGTCACGTGTATTTGGATACTTCCCCTAAGTTTATTACAGACGCATATCTTTGATATTTATGTTTGTCATGGTATCATGTGGGTTCGTTAGCACATTAGCTTCATGAGCTAGGATTAGGGGGTACATATACGAGTTCACTCAGTGGGTTCATGTGCGCGTACGTGGATGGTGTATGGAGAAGTACCACATATCCAACTCTGCCCGGACTGAACGAAGCACAAGACCTTGCTAGGACATTTTTAAAGGTTAGGTTCCATCATGATTGTTTGTATATGCATTCCCTGGCCCCAACAGTGGGGTTACTTACGAAATATTTCTTAAAATACTCAAGTCACATGCTACTCTTACTTTTCACGTAAAGTTAAGGTGGCTCTGCACATATGACAACAATGCTACAATGGTTCGTAGGTAGTTAGGGTGTTGAAAATTTTTAAATCCACGTACCTATTTGTTACCAAGATTCAAACATGTCGTTTGAAAGATTATGTTTTATACAACTGAATTAGGCTCATATCGATCATTTACTAAAATAATTAAAAAGATTTAAACGAAAAATAAAAATATATATAATTATAAGTTAATGTTGTAATTATTAGAAGGATAATGATTAATTTAATTTATAAATTTAACGGTGAGGATATTTTTGTAATTTGACACAATGTCGAAAGAGGGCAATCTTGGAATTTTGTTGGAAGAAGTGACGAAACTCTCTAGGAAAAGGGAAGAAATCACATAGGAATTGTTGGGTAAAACATTTATTTGAAAAAAAGTATTAATATTAAGATATATTATTTAAAATATATTTATTAATGAATGAAAATTAAATAAATTCTTTTAATAATTCAATAAATATCTAAATGAAAATTTGGCTCTTTGTTCACACACGAAGAACATTGAAAAGTCAAAATATCAATTAATTAACTAAAATATAATTATTGTTTTTTTATAAAATTATTTTTAGTTCAATTAATTAATAGGGCAGATTAAATGAATTAAAAAATAGAAGTTGTTAATAGGGATTAGGAAATGCTTAAAACAATGGAAAGTTACTGTACTTATATCAATATGGTACACCGTTTTGGTCGGTAGCTCGATTATAGGAACAGTGATAAGAACAAAATATACTGAAACGATTCGTGTTGGTTTGTGGGGTGAGGATAGTTTTTACTTTTAGAAGGGGGAAGTAAATAACGTGGCTATGTCGAAGTATTAGATGCTAAATTCGAACGTTACCTATCTTAGATGAACACGACTCTTCACAATGGTATGATATTGTACACTTTGAGCATAAGCTCTCATGGCTTTGCTTTGGGTTTCACCAAAAGACCGTATATCAATGTAGAGAATATTCTTTGTTTATAAACTCACTTTCATGATCCAACACCTCCCCTTAATTGAGGCTCGACTCCTTTTCTTCTGGAGTCCTTTGTTCGACATTTGAGGATTTATCAATCTATTGACACGACTAAGTTTAGGGCATGGCTCTGATACCATGTTAGATGAACATGACTCTCCACAATAGTATGATATTGTCCATCTTGAGCATAAGCTCCCATGGCTTTGCTTTGGGCTTCCCCAAAAGTTCTTGTACCAATAGAGAGAGTATTCTTTTATTTATAAACGCATGATCATTCCCTAAATTAGTGGACGTGGGACTTGTTGGATGATGAAAGTCCCACATCGGTTAATTTAGGGAATGATCATGGGTTTATAATCTAAGAATACACTCTCCATTGGTGTGAGGCCTTTTGGGAAGCTCAAAGCAAAGCCATGAGAACTTATGCTCAAAGTGGACAATATCATACCATTGTGGAGAGTCGTGTTCGTCTAACAGGACTTTCATCATCCAACAATTTTAAAGTTATAAAGTTATAATTAGGTCTTTTTAGGAAATCGACGTCCTTGGGATTTGGCTTTGCTGAAAATCAATTGCTTCTCATTTAATGCTAACAATGGTCGAGCAAACAAAGAAGACCCAAGTCGTCCCCTCCACTTGCTTCCAACTTCTTACAAAATACACGCTTTGGGGTCGAAGGATGTTTCCTCGTACCTTCCATGGAAATTGGAACACAATTTAACCCCAAGCTTCACTTCCTCAGCTTCATTTATAAGCCTCATTTCCAATCAACTTCTCACCGAACTTGTTTGTTTTAGACTTTGATAATACTGTGATCAATCGAGTATGGAAAAGAGGGGCTTTCCGTTTCATGTTCGGGATCACCAACACGATCCCAAAAGGTGTTCCCACTCTTTTCCTTTTCTGGGTTTTTGAGGATCTTCATTTGGGGCTTCAAAGATTTCAACTTTTTTTTTTTTTTTATTGTTTCTTCCTGGTTTTGTTGAGGATCATGATCTGGGTTTTGAAGTTTTGAAGTTTTTTTTTTTATGATTTTCTTCTGGGTTTTGAAATTTTTAATTTTTTTTTTTTTTTTAATGTTTTTCTTCTAGGTTTTGAGGAGTTTTGACGTTTTTCTTCTGGTTTGGAGGATTTTGATTCTAGTTTTGAAGGTTTGAAGTTTTTATTTATTTATTTATTTATTATTATTATTATTATTTATGTTTTTCTTCTAGGTTTTGAGGATCATGATCTCAGTTTGGAAGTTTTGACGTTTTTCTTATGGGTTTTGAGGATTTTGATTCGAGTTTTGAAGAATTGAAGTTTATTTTTTTATGTTTTTCTGCTGGGGTTAAAGTTTTGAGGATCATTATCGGGGTAGTTTTGATGTTTTTCTTATGGGTTTTGAGGATTTTGATTCGGAGTTTTGAAGGTTGGAAGTTTAATTTTTTATGTTTTTCTTCTCGGTTTTGAGAATCATGATCTGGGTTGTGAAGTTTTTACGTTCTTTTTATGGGTTTTGAGGATTTTGATTCAAGTTTTGAAGGTTTGAAGTTCATTTCTTTTTATGTTTTTCTTCTCGATTTTGAGGATCATGATCTCGGTTGTGAAGTTTTTACGTTTTTCTTATGGGTTTTGAGGATTTTGATTCGAGTTTTGAAGTTCTTTTTTTCTATGTTTTCTTCTAGGGTTTGAAGATCATTGTTAAGAATGATGCTCATATACCATGTTAAGAGTGATGCTCTCATACCATGTTAAGAATGAGGAAGAAGTGTAAGAAATATAGGTGTAACTTGAGATCCTACGGGGACTTTCTGATCCCACCTATATTTCTCGCATTTTATATCCCACTTATATTTTTTGCACTTTCAATCTCACTCATGTTTCTCAAGTATTGAGGTTTTTTCTTCTGGGTTTTGAGGATTTTGATTCGGGTTTGAAGTTTTGAAATTTTTTTTTTTTTTTTTTCGGGTTTTGAGGATTTTGATTTAGGTTTTGATATTTTGAAGTTTTTTTTTAATGTTTTTTCTTTCTGGGTTTGATTTTGACATCTTGATTTGGGTGTTTTTCTCAGGTTTAGAGCTGAATGTGTCAATGATGATAAGGGTTCTTATGATAAATATGGGTTTGATATTGAAACTCTCCTTCGCGTTATGGTACTTTCAAACTCCTCTCTTTCTTTCTTTTCCATCTTTTAGTCTTTCCAAATTTAGAACAGACTCATTTTTTTTCAGGTTCGTGATGAGGTGGAGAAGACGATTGAGCCTTACCTTATATTGGATCAATCATCTTCTACGTAAGATTGAACCAAATTGAGTCTTATCTTCATTTTGAAGTAGTTAAAATCACTTACCTACTTCACAACTATCCTAACATTTGTCAGATCATTAACTATTAACGATCAAACGAGAGAAGAAGGTATTGTTGAATCTGGAGCGGTGAAGCTGAAGTTACATTTCATGAACAGGGTTCCCTCCTTTATTTACACCACCAACGACATTGAAGCCGAGAACAACGAACCACTGCGAATTGCGCTGTGTGATCCCACCAACTGCAACAACATTGATCCGACAGATCCTTTATTATCAGCTCTGATTGAGTTCGTCGTCATTAATGGAGAATTCGACTCTACCCAAAGAGACGACGAAGTTCATTGGAGTGTTGACGAATTCAAGAAAAACATTTTGATTGAAAGAGAGGGAAAAAGACCTTTACTTGTTGGTAACGATCTTAGGGTTCGTCTAGAAAACGGAGTTGCGGTCATCAAACATTTGAGATTCACCGACAACTCAAGCTGGAGGCGGTCGAAAATGTTTCGATTGGGGGTAAGGATCATTGATAATGATATTTTAGCCAAGTACCCAAGAATCGGAGAAGCTATATCGAATCCTTTTAGAGTCATGGATAATCGTGGACAAGGTATCTCGTTTCTTTCTTCATAAACGTAATTATATCAATATTTTAACACTCTTGAAATTTCAGTAAACAAGAAGAACCATCCACCAAAGAATGAAGATGAAGTATGGCGACTCGAAGGGATAGGAAAAGACGGTAAATATCACAAGAACTTATCGTCCAAAGGTATAAAAAATGTGGAGGAATTCAGAAACGCTTATAAAAGAGATTCTTGCTCTCTAAGAAAGGTAGCTACAAAAATTTACCATCCTTAATTACTTCATTTCAAACACTAATTTTATTTGCATGCATGGTAGTTGCTTGGTGATAAAGTTCCAAACAAGACATGGAAGGCAATGGTTGATAATGCTTTGGAATGTGACTCTCCTACTACTTGTTATCAAAACCTTGAGGTTGGCAACCCACAAATTATCATAAGCGATAGCCATGGGTTACCCCAAACAGGCTTTGATGGATATCAAGGCTATGATTTCACGATAGAAGGTATTGCAACTAATTTTTTGCAATCTTTTCTTCACTATCATATCATATCATATCATATGTATAAATATCATTTTCGTTTGCAGATTTTCAATCTCTGTTGTCACACGGTCAAGCTTTAACCTCAAATTATCGTAACGATACACACATGTACAACCAATACAACCAACAACAAGAACCAAGTTGGTGCCTAAACCCGAGTAATGAAAACGATGTTATTAAATAGAACCCATGTAGAGGTCACGAGTGCTTTAGGAGTTAGGGTTATACAAAATTTATCAATTATCTTTGTATCAACTAATTGAACTGTAATAAATCTGTAATGACAAGATTAGTTGAGCTTATAAGTTATTAAAGTGGGTTGTAAGATTGTTTTTATTTAATTTTTTTATACATTTTTATCACCCATTTTTCCCTTTTAATGTCGAAATAAATAAGGGTGTTTATATTAATCCATAATTGGACTAATGGATTATCCAACCGAGATCATAAAGGTTGGATTGTGTTAGATTTTTTTTTCTCGGTTGGTTTGAATTTGTGGGAAACCGACATTTTGGTTTAGTTTGCCTATTTACATTTTTTTTATTGACTAAACTCGACCCATCTAAAAATAGGGATACAACCCAGTTCCACCCAAATTAAAAAAAGAATATTTAAAGTTTATAGCGGATGTTAATGATGTGTTGTGACTCGTAAATGTTTGATATTTTAATTATTAGTGTAACATGTATTTTAGAATTTTTTAAAATAATTATAAAAAAAAAATAACCAGACCACCTAACTTGAAAATAGAGGGCTGGATTAAGTTGGGTTATGAACTCTATTCGAGGTGCACGGGTCACCAACCCAACTTGATTAGTCCAAAAGATTTTTTTGGAACCTAACCCGTGTACAACTACCTAAGAATAAGATTCACAGGTTGTCATTAAATAGCCAAGTTAAGAATAATGTTCTAATGAGTTATTAAAAATTGCCTCTTTGGTTTTAAAATATTTACACAAAACCCCAAAACTTGGGCCAATCATTGGAAAGTGAAAACTATCACTTTTATCAAGATCAATGTGATTTTTTCAACGGTTAACCATCATATTTTGTCAATTTAATTATTATTTTAAAGATTTGGTCGAGAAGAGACGCAAATCCAATATGTTCATGGATTGGGTTGGGTTAGGTCGAATTGAGACACTCCTCTCGAAATCTTCAATACTCTATTGAGCTCGTTCACCATCAAATTCTCCCTCAAGCACGACCACCTCAACCAAGAGCAACAACAATTTTACTACTATTGGTGGTTAGATGAACTGACTCTCCACAATGATATGATATTGTTCACTTTGAACATAAGCTCTCATGGTTTTGCTTTGACCTTCCCAAAAAGCCTCACACTAATGAAGATAGTATTTCTTGATTATAAACCCACGATCATTCCCTAAATTAGCCGATGTGGAACTTTCATCGCCGTTGGTATAAGACCTTTTGGAGAAGTTCAAATTAAAGTTACGAGAGCATATGTTCAAAGTGGATAATATCATACCATTTTGAAGAGTCGTGATTCCTAACATGGTATGAGAGTCATGCCCTTAATTTAGCCATGTAAATAAAATCTTCAAGTATCGAGGACTCTAAAGAAAGGAGTCGAGCCTCTAAGAAGAAGCTGTTCAAGGGCTCTATAAGCCTCATGAAGAGAGGAACGTTGGGAAGGGAGTCCCAAAGAATTCTTTGGAAGAAGGTTCGTGGGGTTTTCGAGTTGGGGTGAGTGAAGAAGAAAATACCCAAAAGGATGAATTTATAAGAGTAATAAGGAACTAATGAATTTTCCAATTATCATAGCCAAGAACGAACCACGAACCTTCATGCCACGAGAGGAAGAGAGAGAGGAGAGATGTGAATTTGGAAATAAATGGCAGAGGGAAACCACTTAAGGGTCATCTTATTCCATACCTAACCCTTTATTAATATCTAATTATCTTTTTCTTATCATACATTCCTATTTACATAAAATTTAAACTCAATTGAAGGAGGGTGATAAACGATAGTTCTAACTATTTTTCTATGGGCATACACACGTTGGGTTGAGTTCGGTTTTCGAGTTGATTAGGTTCGTGACCCAAAAAACTCGAGTATAGTGTGAGTCAATAAGCCTGATTTGTAATATGATTTAGTTTTTGCAAGATTTTATTAATCAATAATGAAAGTATGTTGTGCATCATAACTGTATACCATGTTGTACGTCTCTAGCATGAAATACTTCCCCAGTATGTTAATTATGGATTGATATGTGCTCCTTTCTTTTCGTTATTTTTTGACAGTGTGAGTGTGCGTTAACCCGTAGTTTGGTCACGGGAAGTATATGAGCCCGCTTAGTAGGTTTATGTGTGCGTGAACTTTGTGAAAAGAAGTACTACACATCCAACTGTACTCGAAAAAGAAAGTAGAGTTAAAAGAAATAGTCATGACATGCATATAGTAACCGTCTTATTTTTAAATAAAAAATAGGATTGATACAATTGGTATCACAGCTCTAGTCTTATAGATTCTATAAACTAGATGTAGACTCAAAATATTTCCATGACAAACACTTCATCATCATCCGACATGCCCTATGAAAGATAATAAATCATCTATGTTATGTTATAATTTATTTGTCATGACAAAAATTTTGAGGTTTAGAATCTCAGACCATGACTAAAACTCGAATACTAAAAGCAAATAAAATAAAAGTGTGACGTGATTATGAGTTACTATGGTGTCCTTTGACTCACTAATGCCCATAGCTTGTGTGATTTTCATTAATTAAATCTTCGAAGAGGTTCTAAACTTGTTTGTTGTAGTGCTTAACTTGATTATAGTAGGTTAATCACGGTCTAAGAGGAGTAACATAATGAACCCTCAAGTTAGTTTTGACAATCTATTATAGTGAGCTTTATACCGAGCTCTCAGAGCTTACCTTACGTAAAAAAACTATCAAGTAATTTATGAAATTGACCCACTAAATAACATCCGTTGTACATGAATTGTAAATTATTGCCTAATATCACGAGTTATGATTTATACACGATTTCAAGATTTTCGGAGCATATTTAGGGCATAAACCAATGATAAGGTAAAATGACGTAAATGCCCCTTTGATGTCTTCTATTATGTTTAGGGTTTAAATGAACTCCAAATGACTTGAAATTACCTGGAATCAATTATGTTTATGCATAATTTCGATATCTTATAAGTATGTTTAGGACATAAACTAGCGTTAAGGGTTAAATTGATGAAAATGCCCCTACCATGACTATTATGTTGGTTTAAGGCATTAATGAACTCTAGATGACACGAAACTTTACATGACACTTATTTATATTATTAAAAAAGATTTTTACGTGATTTTAAGGTAATAAAAGCATGTTTAGGGCATAAAGTACGATAATAGTAAGAAATGACGAAAAAATCCCTACCATACCATTTATTATGTTTCTTAGTTTAAATGAATCCGAAATGAGAAATGACATGAAAGTTTACGTAATACAAGTACAAATTTTCAAAGGAATTAATTGCAAATGTTTGGTATCACATGGATAGAAAGTGATATCATAACTTGAACTTTAAAAATTAAAGGTATCTAAAACCATTCGAATTAGGTGAGGAAATTAATTGTTCACAACGTTTTATTTTAATCAACCATATACGAATTTTTCGACTGCACGTGTGACAAATCAATAATTAAATTCATTAACATTTCCAAAACCTTGAAAAAAATGAAATAATTAAATCAAATATTCTCTTAAATTTGACTTTGCAAGAATATTTTTTTTTTCCACCCTTGACATTTGGGTATATATATATAAATATATATATAGATATAAGAGTTTTTAAAAAAAAATTAAAAGCTAATTTTTTTTAATAATTTTAAAAAATAGGGGTAAATAAATTATTTTTAAATATTTAGAAATTTATTTCAATAATAATACCATACATAGAATAGGATGAATTCTCATTTGTTTTGGAACATAGATAAAAATCTAATTATTTTTTATAATCAATTTTGTACGATCTCTTTTTAGGACAATTCTTCCTTCACCAACGGCTTCATCAACCGGACATAGTGTTGAGTAAAATTGATGAAATACCATAGCCGAGAATGTGAGAGGGAGTTTGGCGTGATAGTTGGTTAGGTCAGAGAGATTGTGGGTAAGGGAACATAAGAGGTTACTCGAGATTTTATATTCAAAAGTGGATAATATCATATTTGTGAAGATCCCACATTGGTTGGGAGGAGAATGAAACACTGTTTGTAATGATGTGGAAATCTTTCCCACAAAAAGGTATATGAATGAATGGAAACCATATTCGAAAGAGAACAGGAGGATAAAATGACTAAGAAATACTTAAAAGAATTGAAAGTTACTACTTATTCCAACAAGGTGCACATGGTGAATGACTCAATTATAGGAATTTCAAAGTTTAAGTGTGTTTTGTGGGACAAGGACAAAACATGTTAAAAAGGCTCGTATAGTTTGTGGAGTGAGACCAGTCTTCACCTTTTAGAAGCGAGAAATAAATAACGTGATCATCCGGGGTATTAGGTGCTGGCTCGTATAGTATGTAGGGTGAGAACAACCTTCACCTTTTAGAAGCGAGAAGTGAATAACGTGACTATGTCATGTGAGGTATTATGTGCTGAATTCGAATTATGAATCAAAATATCGGGCATAGAACGTTACCTAACTTCTTTCTAAATTCTTTAAAAACTAAAGTTATAATTAAGGTTTAATTAAGGATTAGTATTGATTTGGAAGGGTTAGGGAAAGGAAAAGAAGACCCAAGTCGTCTCCCTCCACTTGTTTCCAATTTCTCAACTTTTTGTCCCAATCTCACAACACACAAGCTTTGCCCTCGAAGGATGTTTCCTCGTACCTTCCTTGGAAATGGAACACAATTTAACCCTAAGCTTCACTTTCTTAAAAATTAAATGCTAATTTGTTTAATAATTTTTAAAAATAGGTGTAAAAAAATAAGATACATGACAGGGCGCTAGAAGAGATTTGAGGTAAGGGAACCTATGAAGTTACTCGAGATTTTATATTCAAAAATGGAATAATATCATATATGTGAAGATCTCACGTTGGTTGGGAGGAGAACAAAATACTCTATGGAAAGTTGTGTAAATCTTTACGTGGCAGACGAGTTTTAAAAATTTTGAAAGGAAGTTCGAAAGAAAAAGTTAAAAAAAAAATAATATCTGCTAGCGGTGAACTTGAGCCGTTACAATATTAGTGTACATATATAAGTATAAAAAAACAAAACAAAAGAACATTCTTAAAACAAACAAAAAAGAATCATATTATGGTCATACATATTTGTTGGTTCATATTTATGAGCATCACTTAGGTTTGGGTATCAACTTGTTCCATGACAACATTTGACTACAATCATCTTCAAGTTCGTCCAAGAATGTCTGGTTTTGGTCGGCAACTTCTGCACCTCCCATGGCTTCAGCGTGGAACTCTATCACCTGGAACTCTATCGTCTTCCATGTCTTGTCTGGAACTCTATCGCCTAACAACTGCATGACACAAAATAATCAATTATATTGAACTAATGAAGGATGATTATGAATGAAATAGTGTTTTTTTTGTGTCTTATTGGCTACCTTTCTTAGATAACGAGGATCCCTTTTATAAGCCTTCACAAGGCTTTCCACGGTTTGAATACCTTTGAAAGATAAGCGCTTGTAATATTGACCATTTTTGCTAATACCTTTCAATCTCCATACTTCGTCTTCTCCCCTTAGACGGTGGTGCTTATTGTTCCCTGCACGTGAAAAATGAAAAACTTTTTCTTTTATTATATTTTTATGGGCAAAAAATGACCCTAATGTTTGCTGAGGATGGTTCAGAGTGAGTCCCACATTGGCTAGTCAATTAGGGAATGATCCTCGGTTTAATGAATACATCTCCATTGGGAGAGGACTTTTGGGGAAGCCCAAAACAAAGTCACGGGAGCTTATGCTCGTCGAGGAAGTCCTCATATCTTATTTCAATCTTCATCGGGCTAAATTTGTCATTTAATTTGTTGACTCTCAAAAATGTTTTCTGTATATATATATATATATATGAAATATTAATTTTAAAGAATTATATGTATATACATACATATATACACATACATATTGTGATATCCCACATTGGTTGAGGAGGAGAAGGATACGCCCTCTATAAGAATAAAGGGTGTGGAAACTTTTCCCTAGCAGGCACGTTTTAAAACGTTGAGGAGAAGCTCAAAAGAAAAAGCCCAAAGAGGACGAGGACAATATCTGCTAGTAGTAGACCTGGGCCATTACAAATGGTATCAGAGCCAGACATCGGACTATGTGTCAGCGAGGAGGCTGTTCCTCGAAGGGGGTAGACACGAAGACAATATCTGCTAGCAGTAGACCTGGGCTGTTGCAAATGGTATCAGAGCCAGACACTGGACTATGTGCCAGCGAGGAGGCTGTTCCTAGAAGGAGGGTAGACACGGGGCGGTGTGCCGTGAGGAGGCTATTCCCCGAAAGGGGGTAGACACAAGGCGGTGTGCCAGTAAGGACCCTGGCCCCCAAAGAGGGGTGGATTTGGTGGCGGTCCCACATCGATTGGAGAAAGGAACAATATCTACTAGCAGTACACCTCAGCCGTTACAAATGGTATCAGAGCCAGACATCGGGTTATGTGCCAGCAAGGAGGCTGTTCACCGAAGGAGGTAGACACGAGGCAATGTGCCAATAAGGACTTTGGGTCCCGAAGAGGAGTTCGATTGGAGAAAGGAACGAGTGGCAGTGAGGATACTGGACTACCTTATAAGGGTGTGGAAACCTTTCACTACCCTCGAGGGAAGCTGAGGGACGAGATTTGAGGATAGGGTAATAAGTACCTTTGCTTCGATGTTCCATGACTTTAAAAGAGTTAGAAACAGCCTCTATAATTCTCGGGGAGCTGTTATTGTCCAAAATCTCATCATCAATGACTTTTACTCCCAACCGAAAGCTTCCAGTTCTGGTCCTCTTAGAGTTGATGATAAAGGACAAATTGTTGATCCACAAAACTCCCTTTTTCAAACGAATCCTTTTATCATTACCATCGAGGTAAGGTCGTCCTCCAAGTCTTGGAGTGACAATACCTCTCTCGAAATCTTCAACACTCCACTGAGCTCGTTCACCATCAAATTCTCCATCGAGCACGACCACCTCGACCAAGAGCGACGACAAAGGATGTGCTGCCCCGACAATCTTATGATTATAATCATCGGTGACATCCATTAGTGCAATTTGTAGTCGCTCGCCGTTGTCGGATTCGATGTCGTTGGAGGTGAAAATGGTGGAGGGAAGCTTGTTGAGGAAACATAGCTTCAGCTTCACCATTTTAGTCCCACCACCTCCAACAACGAATTCAGCTTCATGTTGGGAAGTTCTACACGTGAAATTCAATAATCATAATGATGAAATTAATTGATTTAGTCTAAAACATGTAGAGACGAACCTTAAAGAACATGATTGTCGGGGGTTATTAGCCACTACCTTTGTCTCCACCTCCTCACGTACCTAGTATCGACATCCACATATTCAGTTCAAAAACACATATATGTCCTTGAATGTAATCCACGATTGAAATTATGTTAAAACAAGTAGAAGAGGGAAAGGAACTCTAAAGGGAGAGATTTTTGAATTCTCTTTGTTGTTATAAAAAAACATATCGTTGATCCTCAATTACTACCAATTCTTTTATAGTTGCTAGTAACTCATTCTACTGAGTCAAATTTATAAGCCCAAAAGAGAGAGGGGTTTGAAAATACCACCGGGCGGATAAAAGTTTCAAAATGAGCCAATAAGTTCGGAGACGAAAAGTCAGCTACAACCCTGAGAAACCCAGATCAAGATCAAGATCAAGAACAAGATCAATAACACAAAACCATGTTAGATTATGAAATCAAAGTAGAAGAGACGAGGAAATTAAGGAAAAAAAAACCAAGATAGAGAGAGGAAGTTGATTCTTTTGAGGGGTTGTTCTTGATCATCCTGAGAATGCAAGAGACCATGAAAGTCCCTCTTTTTGTTCATTAGCTCCATTTTAAATGGAAATTTGGAAGGTTGGTGGGGTTTTTAAGAAGGGTGAGCTGGTACTGAGGAACGCCGAAAAGGGTCTATTTATAACATTGAATAGGGAAATTATCATTCCAAGAACCAACCACGAACCTTCTGCCATGAGGGTAAAAGAGGGACGTACGCGGTTTCGACGTGAGCGAGAGGATGAGAGGTGTGAATGTGGAAATAAATGGCACATAGGGAAGCCTCTCAAGGGCCCATCTTCATGAATACCTACCCCTTTAAATAATAACTATCTTTCCCTCGTCCTTCCTTCCTTCAAATTTACATAAAATTTAACTTCAAATTAACTCAAATTTAGATGGTCGAATTTAGTTGTAACGACCCTAAGTTTCTACCTACTTAAAGTCGTTACTAACGTCTCATTATCTGCTAAAATATGGAGTACAAAGAATCTTCCTCTTCCTCTCTGTTTGCCTTCCTTCCTTCCTTTTCCGAGTTTCGTGGCTTGAAAGAACCTATAAACCCAAATCTATGAAAGTTTAGGAAACCTGAAATCTCGACTTCGTTTACCGGCAACGACGCGTATGAAAAGGGCGCAAAACGTCCTTAGCTTGATGTGTGGTCGTCAGGGATCTCTTTAACGGTGTATCTCGGGTGTTTTGACGTCGGTTTTGAGGTTTCAAGGACGGGTATTTGTTTTTCGATCTCGCCGACATTCTCGATAATGCTCTATGTCTCGTATTTTCCTTCGATTCTTCGTCACAGGTGATTCTGGGATGCTTGGAAAGCGTGTTTGAAGGTTTTAGTGTATTGTGGGGGTCACAGTCTATATTTCCTTAGGCGGCTATCCTAAGCGAGTAATTGAATGTATATTCAATGTTCTACACACGGCTCATATGTGCGAGTATGGACCCACCAATTAGTTCGCATACCTCATGAGTCCCTTTATTGGTTGGACTAGCATTCTCTGAAACTATTGTTGATAGACACCCTTTAGGAATAGCAACCGGTGCACCATTATAGTAAATATAATGACCGTTTTCTTGTCTTGTAGCGTACGAGTCCGTACTATTATAAGAAGAGGGGTATTCCCCGATGCCAGAACACACAATAATGCATGAGATCCCAACATTTTCTTTCATTATCATGTACAACAATCCCTTCCGCTTTCCTTTATATCATATCATTTTATCATAACTTTCCATGCATATATCAGTGTCGTGCATTATGTCAAAACAACATATTTTACGTCAAGCATATCATATATTTCATCATGTCAAACATATGTCATATCATCAACATATCGTGTCTTCTAACGTATCATATCATACTATGCAAGTATAATGTCATATATCATATCACAACATGTGTCGTATTGTCAGTCCTATTACATCATAACATATATCATATCATGAATATATCATATTATGAACATGTCATCAAACATATCATATCATTCACATATCATTTCATAACCTTTCACACATAACAAGAATATAACACGTGCAAAGCTACGGGGTACGTGTCATCATACAACATATAAGTTCTAACTGAACCGATAGTAAGACCACTTATTTGGTTGCCCTTAGTCAGTGTTCTCCCTAATTTCAAGTATGTTCGAATTTCGTCCTTCAAAGTTGCTTCAAGTATCGTTGGTAGTTGTTTCCTATTAGAACATTCATCTTGTTTCGTTAATAACTCAAATTTTTTAGCTCAAACTTAATTTAGACTTTGAAATTGGATCTTATGACCTCAATTAACTTAAACAATGTCAATTTCAGCTTTGAGATGGTCAGTAGAATTTGATCAAAATCCCTTTACTGAGCCGAGAAGCCGCGATCTTAGCCGTCGGAGATGCTAAAGTCGAGCCGAGCCGACTGAGCTGTATAAGCCGAAGGAGCCACTAGTCGTAAGTGCAACACACCCACCACCTTGAGAATCTAGGTCGAAGGAGCCGCTAGCCGAGCCGACTGAGATGTGGGCCTTTGTTTGAGAATCTAGGACGTGCGATCGGTTGGGCGGAAGAGCAATTTGCAGTGGCTCGCCGTTGTCGGATTCAATGTGGTTGGTGGTGAAAATGGTGGAGAGAAGCTTGTTGAGGAAACATAGCTTCATCTTCACCATTTCACACCCACCACCTCCGACAACATCGTCAGCTTCAAGTTGAGTTCAGTTCCACCTCCTCCTCCTTTGTCTCCACCTCCTCACGTACCTAATAACGATCGACATCCATGAATTCAGTTCAAATAATTAAGATATGTTCATAGAAAGAGAGAGGAGTTTGAAAATATGAGCATGCTCAGAAAAGTTTCAAAACGACCCAATAATTTAGGAGACGAAATCTCAACTCCAAACGTGATAAATCCAAATCAAGATCATGAACACAATGGTGAAGATTGTTGAGAGGAAGTGGGACATTGGCTAATTTAGTAGAAGATCATAGATTTGTAAGTGAGGAATACTATTTTAATTGGTATGACACCTTTTGTGAAGTCAAGTCATGAGAACTTATACTCGACAATATTATACAATTCTGGAGAGTCGTAATTTTTAATATGGTATAAAAGTCATGTCATTAACTCAATCATGTCAATAGAATCCTCACAGGATTGGTGAGAGCTGGGAACGCCCAAAAAGATCCATTTATAACAGTAATAAGGAACTACGGAATTTCTAGCCATTTTTCAGGTATCATTGCCAAGAACGAACCACGAACCTTCATGCCACTTGTTTTATTATTATTATTTTTTTAACCCCATTGATAAGCTCATTTACGAGAGGAAGAGAGGTACTCTATGGTTTCGAAGAGAAAGAGAGAATGAGGTATTCTACTTATTCAAAATCGTTACCAATGTCTCATGCTCTTCTAAAATGCAGAATATAACTCTTAAAATAAAACCTCATCTCAGTCACAAAACATTTAAAATATCTTCTATCTCTAGAAAATACAGTCATGGTCTTGCCTGTTTAAATACAACATACTGAAATTTAGAAAAAAATAAAAAATACAAATGATAATTATTTTTTTTTAAATATGAGTTCGCCACAATCTCTACTCGCTATGTTGCCATTATTCGTGCATGTGCGCTTTGTCTTTACCTGAAAAACGATGTGGCATACAACTTGAGTATATAGAAGAATACTAGTCAGTGACCCCACTATAGGGACTATGCTAAATGCAATCACAAGCAAATATGTTCTATGACCTCGCTATATCTCATCTCATACTAGGAGTGGCCTCCCTATCTCTATCTATCTCTATCTACCTCTTTTGACACAACCCTAATTTCATATCTTTGTTATACTTGGTAACACATGCTCGTTAGATATAGTCTCAAATTAATCGCCAAACTTTGACTCAAAAAGTTAAAGGGAGACGTATTTTGATCCGGGCTTGATTTTCTTTTCCCATAAATGTGACACCCTTAATGGCCGTTTCTTTCACAAGTTCTAATGATTGTTGAAATCAGACACATTAAGGGACATACCAAAGAAAAATTGGAGGAATTTGGGCTTGGGAAGGACTTGAATTATACATATATTTTAAAAAATATTAATTTTAAAGAATTATAGGGTAGGGATGGGGAAGAATTTTCTTTTTTTTTTTTTGTCACTCGTGACATAATAAGTACCTTTGCTTAGTTGTTGCCCAAAATCTCATCATCAATGACTTTTATTCCCAACCAAAAGCTTCCCGTTCACCATCAAATTCTCCATCGAGCACGACCACCTCGATCAAGAGCGACGACAAAGGATGTGCTGCCCCGACAATCTTATGATTATAATCATCGGTGACATACATTAGTGCAATTTGTAGTCGCTCGCCGTTGTCGGATTCGATGACGTTGGAGGTGAAAATGGTGGAGGGAAGCTTGTTGAGGAAACATAGCTTCAGCTTCACCATTTTAGACCCACCACCTCCGACAACGAATTCAGCTTCATGTTGGGAAGTTCTACACGTGAAATTCAGTAATCATAATGATGAAATTAATTGATTTAGTCTAAAACATGTAGAGACGAATCTTAAAGAACATGATTGTCGGGGTTATTAGCCACCACCTTTGTCTCCACCTCCTCACTTACCTAGTATCCACATCCATGCATTCCATTCAAATAATTCATGTATGAGGACGTTATATGTGACCCTCAATTGAAATTATGTTAAAATAAGTAAAAGAGGCAAAGGAATAGCTCGAGGGGAGAGATTCTTTGGAGCAAAGAAAACTTAAGTAGTTTGCTTTTCAATTGTCTCTGTTGGGGTTGGTTAGGAAAAAAACATACATCTCACGAGTATTTTTAGTAGAGAAAACACTAACTAATTTCTTGAATTTTCTCCTCAAGTTAAGAATTACAACGACTGATTAAAGCATAAAACTTAGTCCAGAATCACAAAACTAGGTTCACAGTTTGACAACTACTATCAATTATCCTTTGTTGGTAACTCATTCTAGACGTCTACTAACAATTCTCCTAAAGTTATCCAATTAGTTTGTGAGATCTCACATTGGTTAGGGAGAGAACGAAACACTCTTTATAAGGGTGTGGAAACCTTTCCATAGCATACGCGTTTTAAAGTCTTGAGGGGAAATCTAAAAAGAAAAGTCCAAAGAGGAAAATATTTGCTAACGGTGGGCTTGGACAGTAAAGGGTGTAAAACTTTTCCCTAGCCGATGAATTTTAAAGCCTTGAGGGGAAGCCCGAAAGGGAAAGCTCAAAGAGAACAATATCTGCTAGCCGTGGTCTTGAGTGGTTACAAAGTTAATTACTTATTCCACTTACTCAAGTTTATAAGGTCACAAGAGAGGGGGGTTTGAAAGTACCAGCGGACGAATAAAAGTTTCAACCAGGCCAACGAGTTCGGAGATGAGACGACGAAATCTCAGCTACAAACCTGAGAAACCCAAATCAAGATCAAGATCAAAAACACAAAACCGTGTAGATTATGAAATCATAGTAGAAGAGATGAGGAAATTAAGAAAAAAAAAAACCAAGATAGAAAGAGGAAGTTGATTCTTTTGGGGGAAGGTTGCATTTGTTCTTGATCATCATGAGGATGCAAGAGACAACTAAACTCCCTCTTTTTGTTCATTGGCTCCATTTTAAATAGAAATTTGGAAGGGTTGGTGAGTGGTGGTAGTGAAGAACCCCCAAAAGGCTCAATTTATAACATTGAATAGGGTAGCCAACAACCAACCACGAACCTTCATGCAACTTGTTTTATTATTATTAGATTAACCCCATCGTTAAGGTCTTCCACGAGAGCAAGAGAGGGACTACGCGATTTCGACGAGAGGGAGAGAGTGAGAGGTGTGAATGTGGAAGTAAATGACACGTAGGGAAGCCTCTTATGGGCAATCTTCTTCCATACCTAACCCTTTAAATAATAACTATCTTCCCTTGTCCTTCCTTCCAATCAAATTTAACTTCAAATTAACTCAAATTCAGATGGTAACGTCTCACGATCTGCTAAAATGTTAAGGTCCTATTCTTCGATAGCTACTCCAAAGGTTATCGGGGTTTGCTTTTTATTGCACCGTTCGTCACCTTTTGTTAGTATTTCACATTTTAATTAATAATTCAATTAACAATATGAAATACGGCTCTAAAAGGTGTTAAGAATGAGAAATAGAAATAGAATTGGAATCGAATGTGTATTCTCATGGATATTCATAACCTCTAAATAGGATATAAGAAACCAACTAATACCTGCTAATAAAGAAAATATAAACTAATTAAATATTGAGAATAAAATAAAATATAGTACAAATCAAATCATAAAAGAAAGAATATTAAGATATAATATCTAAGATATATTCGATGAATAATATATTCTCCAAATATTATATCTCAACGCTCCCTCAGGTTGGAGAGTGTATGTTAATCACATCCTACTTGTCTTTACGAGTGTAGGTCAATAACACCCAAGTTGTTTTTATGAGTGTAGGTCAATAACACCTAAGTTGTCTTTGAGAAGAGAGTTTTAAAAAATTATTGAATTTCCAAGAAAGATGGAAAAACAAAAAATAGACGGCCTTTGATTGGTTTGCATTTTTAGGCTTATCAAGAAATTATTAAATTTCCCAAAAAGATGTATAACTCAGAAATAGACTGGCTTTTATGTATCTTAGAACTTGAAGAGGTGCTTCTTGATTTATGCATAAATGATTCACTCTAGGATTGGTAATTTGTTCCATTTAATTTGATTGAAACAAAAAGAATACCGTGGTTGATCGAAGTGATGAATATAATAAGGATGTGTTAAATAGACCTCCGAAGTTTTGAAGTTGGACAATGACATCAAAATTGGTGCTCTGGATCACTTGAGAGGTTGTGAAAGAAAATACGAACATCTTGAATATGCCACCTTTGAACTTGGTGAGAAATTTACGTATTCTTGATATTGGATGATCGATAACATTTTGCCAACCACAGTTCTCGCCCTAGTAGAGTTCTAGTAGAATGATTGAGATTCGGAAGCAATGGCTAAGGTTTGGAAGCCGTTGAAAGCAAGAAGTTTTGGTTGTTGTGATACTTGATTGGACTTTCACGATGGATGATCAGCGGTTGTAAAGGTTTCACTGATTGAGTTAGGGTTTGGCTTTGGCTCTAATGTCAAACCCTAACTCGAGAGGAAATTTTGATATTTAAAAATATCAATATAGTGTTCTAATACCATGTTAAGAATGAGAAATAGAAATAGAATTGGAATCGAGTGTGTGTATTCTCATTGATATTCATAACCGTTAAATAGGATACAAGCTACCAACTAATTAGATTATCGGATTATTAAAATAATTAATCTTTTAAAAAACTTTTATTTATCTATCATGAATGCAATCTTAGATAAAAGATATTAAGATACAAATCATTCAAACAAACAAATGTGACGTGGGACAAAAATTGTAATACCCTAGCACGTACAATCATAAGTGAGACCTATTATATTAGTCTATATTTCCTTAGGCGGCTATCCTAAGAGGGTAATTAGATGTGTATTTAATATTCTACACACGGCTCATACGTGCGAGTATGGACCTACCAATCAGTTCGCATACCTCCTGGGTTCCTTTCTTAGTCGAACTAGCGTTCTCTGAAACTATTGTTGATAGACATCCTTTAGGAAAAACAATCATCACATCATTATAATAAATATAAGGATGTTTTCTTGCCTCGTAGCATACGCGTCCATACCATAAAAAGAGGGGTATTTCTCAATGTATGAACACACAATTATGCATGAGATCCCAACATTTTCTTTCATTTTCATGTACAACAATCTGTTCCGCTTTCCTTTATATCATATCATTTTATCATAACTTTCCATGCATAGATCAAGGTTGTGCATGATATCGAAACATCATATTTTATGTCAAGCATATCATATATTTCATCATGTTAAACATATGTCATATCATAAACATATCGTGTCTTCCAACATATCATATCATACTCTGCAAGTATAATGTCATATATCATATCCCAACATGCATTGTATTTTCAGTCATATTACATCATATCATATATCATACCATGAACATGTCATCAAGTGTATCATTTATTTGGATAGTGGCCTCTGTTTGAGAATCTAGGTCGTGTGATCGGTTGGGCCGAAGCGCCTGTAGGTGGGTCAAGTCCTGATTTTGGGTCATGGATAAAGAGGTTGGGTTGGATAGTGGGTTACCAATGGATGACCGATCCAAATCCGAATCCATTCGATCTAGTCTTCCTAACTCGACTTAGATGATTCCTCCTTCAAATTTCTCTCTCTTCCCGATGTGGTTCTAACTGTGTTTTTCTTCATCGTTTTTCCTCAAAATTATTATTTATTTCGTTTATTACCGCTATTTAAAAACAATTCTCATGAAATTTTAAAACTAGCATTAACATCCTTAATCAATATAAAAAAAAAAAAGGTTAAAAGCAAGTACTTATCGTCAATATATAGACCAAAACGATCTACCTACACCACAAAGATCGATCTCCAAATTTTTTTAATTTTTTTAAGTTTAAGGGTTTAATATTTTTGAAGTTTTCAACACGTTTTCGATATATAGATACAATAGTTAATAAAAATGTATTTCAAAAAATCAAAAAACAAGTTTTAAAAAAAAATAAAATGTTTTTTTTTTTTTTTTTTGAAAATTTTAAAATGCTTTTGAATTTTTTTAGAAAAAAAAAAAACTTTAATTGAATGAAATTTAGTAGGAAAATAAAAATAAAACAAATATTAATGTTTTGGGCCCAAGATGAACAAAATGGGAGCACAAGACCAAGGCCCATTTGGCGTTGGACAAGACAAACCACAAGCCATAATGTCCGAGCTATGGGTGTCCTAATATACATACATACATATATGTATATATGTATATATGTATGTATATGTATGCATATATATGTATGTATATGTATATATATATGTATGTATATGTATATATATGTATATATATGTATTTCACAAAGGTAAGCAAAACTCTAGCTTTTGATAATGTCATAGTTTACTTGAATGTTCAAACATTCATAAGTCAGACAGACACGTAACTAAGCGAGTTTTACTAAATTTGTGCATTAATATTTTTTTTGTTGTCCATAAAAGATTATGTGTTGGATTCGTTGGAAAACTCTTTTAAACCAACTCGAAATTTTAGTTTGGTTTGATTAGTAACCCAAGAAACCCTTAATCGAGTTCATAATCCAACCCAACTTAGCCTAACCTTCTATTTTCGAGTTGGGTTGGGTTTTCAGGTTGTTCTTTTTAAAATTATTTTAAAAATCATACTTATTCATAATATTAGTTACATTAATAACTCAAATATAATAAAGCTCAAATATTAAATGTTCATGAGTCACAAATGTATCACTAACCTCGACTACAAACGTCGAATATTTTAATCTTTATAATGATCTTAAAACTAGGGTAAGTAGGTTGGGTCGTAATCCTATTTTCAGGTTGACCCATATAAAAAAATCAACTAGTGAACTGACCCAAATTTTCATATTTTCAAAAATCAACCCAATACAGACAAAAAAAAAAAAAAAAAAATTTAACCCAACTCAATAATAGTTTGGATTGGATAATCATAATTGGTCGGGTTTGTTAAAATATCACCACTAAGTCAAACGCTATAATTATATGAGTCTATTATCTATGTACGTCAAAAAAATGATTTAAGTATTTTAGTAATATAGATAATTAGATATTTAAGGAAAATGATTTAGGGACGGTAAGAACAAAGATACCTTTAAAAATGATTTAGTTATTTTAAGAATAAATTGTTTAGTCTCTACTTAAATATTTTTCGATCCCATGAAATCTCAAGTATTCTCAACTAGCAAAGTGCAATAGTATTCTAACGAGTGTCTTGTAATCTTTTCTTGATTGGTGTTAATAAAGAGTGCGAGTATTTCTCACACAAAATAGGGTTATTTGGTCATCCGAACACTTGTAGTTGTCTCTGGAGGAAAGATTTATGCATTAGGGATGAATAGAAAAAGAAAGGATTCAAGTCGAGGGAAGGATAGAGGGCAAGTTTCTTACATCCCATGCCCAATTCTCCTATTGTAGTATCACCTCACCCATGGGAGGGTCGAACTAGAAAAATGACAAACCATAATGAAGAAAG